TTTTCATTGTTGACATAATAAACGATAGTAATAAACAATAATATAGGTACTCACCGAATGAAGGAACGCCAACTATCCAGAAAGCCTTTTTCCACAATATAAAATAATCTGTTTGGATCGTCGCACTTCAAAATTTCATTTCTATTCTTTCCATAATACAAGTCGGTAAGTTCATCCTTTTGCTGCTTCGCCTTTATCTTGTCATCTTTCTTCGCTTTTTGTGCATTTTCCATTCTCTCCTGAAACATTAACAAATATAATAGATATATTTAAAAAAAATTTAAGCTTGTTTTACACAAAAATAAAATTTTACAAACCTCACAGATTGCACAAGATGACGATCCAATAGGGTATTCTTTCGAGTCTGGAAAATATTTTCGAAGAATCAACCAAGCCTCTTGAGGTATCACTCTTCTACTGGAATCTGCTGTTTTAAGAGAATTATGTTCGCAGAGTAGATCTTCATTGAAGTTTATAATAATTTCATTTTCTTCAACGTTTTCCTCAACTTCTTTTGGACAATCATTGCCATCTTTATCTACATTTTTACTCTCTTCCTGTGGAACATCCTGACAATCATCCATTTCTTGTTCCATGTCTTCTTGAAATGTTTCTATAGCTAATTTTCGCCACCATCGTAATGAATTGGTACCAATTATATAGCTTGTTTCAGAACTAAAACAATAAAAATATCATAATTATTATGAATATTAATGTTACTGTTATTTTTTTACTGTAACAAATTGTAATTTTGAATTTCAATTTAATACTTACGGTTCTTTAAATGTGCGAACTAGCTCGCTGACTTCTTTATAATCTCGTTCGAGTGTTAGTTTGAAACGCAATAATTTGCATCGTCTTTTTACGCAAATTTCGCATAAAGATGTTTGATCTAATCGCGGCCCTCCTCGATATTTATCATAAAGTATTTCAGCAGCTATTGCCGGTATGCATTTCGCACGACTAACTTTCAATGGATCGAGTCGATAATGCGAGCACATTAAAGTGGAATTATCGATCGGAGGAACACTATCTGTAATGGAATGTCCATTTAACCATTTTGACAGCCAATCAGTTGGTATCCAATAATATTCGTCCCAGCATGTCGTTGATTGAATTATATTATATATATCTATCACGAGTTGCCGTTTGAAATTTTGATCTTCAATTTCTTTTTGCTAAAAAAAGAAAACGAATAATGTAGAAAAAGTAATGAGCATAAAAAAACTTATAATCTTAAAATTAGTCATAGTCTCTTACCTTCTCTTGTTGCGCTGCCAACAAACTCAATTCATGCTTAACATTTTCTTGCCTGACAAGTTCACGCATTGTGTTACTCACTTGCCAATTCTCAAATTCGATCTGTAGACATGAAAATGTATTTATTTAAAATATTACAAAATATTACAAAATATATTAAAGCATCTAAAAAATTTATTTTTATAAGAAAATTACTTCTTCATAAAAATCTCGTTCTCCACAACTCATAGCTCTGTGTGCAGCACCATTCAGGCGTTTATAATCAAGTTTAACAACTTTTATCACTGGCTGTTTTAAGCATTCAATCTTATTCTGCATTTGTTGCGAGGTAGAATTAAGTTTGTCTTTACATCCATTCGCATTAATAACAGTTTCTACAGTTTCAATTTTATCCGTAATAAGCATATCAGTCTTTTGAGATACCACAGTCTTATCGATTTCCATTTTATTTTCTGATTCTAAGTTTAATATCTTTTCAGAGTTTTCTTCTTGAGATAATCGTACATTTTCAATGTTGTCTTTCTGTTTTATTTCATCCAACATATCTGATTTATCTTTAACTGTAAGTCTTTCTAAGTAAACAGATTCATCGGAGGCATTCGACTCGGCATCAGATTTTTTCAATTTCATTTTCTTCATAGCATTTATTTGACAATCGGTAGTTAACTTTTTATAAACCAACATATAAGCTGTATTCGATGAAAGAAACCCTTTTGGAACGCGTCCTCGTTTTATTGGTTTCACATTATCTATACAAAAAGAAAAAAAAATATCTGACTTCTGTGTCTTTTCATGACATCAGAATTCATTGATTTTTTTTTTATTAAATTGTATAATATTTAATTACCATTTACACCATCCTCAATTCGTTTATTCTGCATTTTTTCCACTTTATCATCACTAAACTGGTACCACTCCCCACTTGAATTACATATATTTGCAATGTAATGTCCAGAATGAGCAGATGGACCTTTGTGACTCAATACTGCGACGAGATTATATAAATGAGTTTGAGGTTGGCATCTAACGTATTCCGACATATCGAGATCTTCGGGAAACTGAATGTACGAATTTAACTTCTTTTTTTGTCCGGAATCTCTGTTATAGAAAATCGAGCTACTAATATCTAGCAAATAAAAGTTATCTTTGCAGTAAAGTTCAAGACTTACCTATGAAAAACGAAACGCATTAGTTGAATGTTCAACGTTTCTGGGAGAGATTCCAATCGTATGAATCGTCTGGCATCCTTTTTGTCGCTGCAAGTGACGCAATGATATTGATTCGCACCCGTCAGCTGTTCTTCCGATAAATACTTGTCTATCGCCTCCTTCAATGTTGCTGCCAGTTGTAAATCCAGTTCGTAGAATGTGGTGGATGTTGGATATTCGGTGCCGCACGTCGAACAACTGCACCAAACATAAAATTCTAATTATCTACTAAGAAGTCATTTCTCTCTGCCAGATCAGTTGGTCGCGCCAGTCACCGTAGCGAACAACGTGTCCTACCATGTTTTCATCGTCAAGATTCATCGGCATCATCATCGTTTAGGACAATTCTCATTTGTTTTCCACTTCAGAAAACCCACCAATTGATATAGCTGTATTTTCCCTGGGTCAGCCTCTGCAGCATCCGCTTCAGTTCTGAGTTTTGCTGTAGCTTTCCTTCAATATGGCACAGTAGCAGCTTGGAGAATTCCTGAGCGTCCTGCTGTGTTCTGGTATCCAGGGACAACGCGACAGCGAGATTCATTGGATCAAGAAGACTCCGATTTCCGAATTGCATCATTGCAAAAATATATTGCAATTGGCCGACTGCAGTTGCTGGATGGTAGGGTAGTCCCATCTTCTTACTCTGGTACAATGTCTCCTTCTCCTCTGGATCTTCCGTAATATCCCATTTGTATATTATTCTCCTGTATTACAATTAAATCTATTAACAATAAATTACACATATACGCAAAGATTCAGTTTCGCATAATATATTACACACACCTCATATCTTCGTTGTGAAACCACATTTGAATTAAACTATTGACATAACACGTAGCACCAAGATTCTTTAAACCGACGTATTGAGTTGGATCACGTAGCTCGGATAGGGAACTTTCTAGAGATACTATCTCAGCTGGTTGGGACTTCATATACTTGTCTTCTCCTAAACCTGTTAGACATTGAGGATTATTGGCACAATTACGTCTGAAACAATAACATAATGCGCTCTAATTAGAATACATATTTACAATTATATTAATATAATGATTATGATTAATACATTTTTCACACATGGACAATCTTTTTTGACTTACTTGCAATTTTTACAATTCTTTAATCCAATTCTATATGCATTTTCTAAATGTATTTTTTCAATCTGTTCTGGACTAACGCTTTCTATCCATGCCCATGCTATCTTGTCTAGATCAGTTTTTTTGGTCGGTGGCATATCTGCAACAAAATATATAGATTTAATGTTATATAAATCAAATAATTATATCATATTTAATAATTGTACAAATACACATATATTATATATTATATTTTATATATATTATATATTATATTATATATTTAATAATTATATAAATATGTATATACAGTGCCATAAATACATGTTTATATGATAAATATATGATGATCAGTGACATTCATGATTGATATTTTTGTTGCATACTTTATATACAAATTTTTATATATGCGACAATATAATACAATAATCATATCCTTTCATTAAATGCTAATTCAATGAATATACATTATTGAAATAAATGTTATATAAAGTTGCACATATATTAACATAAGAAATCAATTCCAAATCTATCTAGAGGACTACAAATAAATCATTATACATTTAAGATTTTATTGTTATTAAAATAGAATGTCTTTCTTTGAAGATTCTAAAAGAATTTAAATTTATATTATTAAGAATTTAATTAATATTATTAAGAATTGAAATGTATATTATATATTAAGAATTTAAATTTATATTGTTTGCGCTCCTCATTGAATTAAAAGATAACTGAAAATCGAATATGATATGACTGCATGTCCGAGTAATCTCGTAATTTTTCGCGCCACAACAAACGTCTCTTTATTCCGACGAAACAAGAGTAAAGGGACGAGGTTTGAAGAATGATATTTTCCCGATAACGCGAGAGGAACGTTATCAAGTATGCAAATGTCTCGGGGAGGAAAAAAAAATAAAATGACACATGAAGCAGCGAGTGCGTGTACCTGCTCGCAGCACTTTTCCACACGATTTACAAGGTTATAAAAAGAGCTGGCGTTGTTATTTCTAACGGGATTATTTTCCAAATCATCGAAATCGCGCAATTTATGATATCACATACCGCTGCTTCGAATTCGTCGAGATGTATGATCCACACAAAACGATGAAACTGGGAGAAACAACGAAAAGCTTCACGAAAACCGACACACACTTCTTCGATCGTTCGTCGCCATATGCAATCAACTCGTATCAAAGCGCGCGTCAAATCAATCTCTAAAATTGCGACGTGATAGATCATCGTAATAGAAATCGGAAAATATATATATATGCGCGGAAACTGGATGTGCGAGAATATCGAGAAATATACCTGCTTCGAATGATTTCCTTTGCACAAAATTATATTTTTGGCAATCACTATGCACACAAGATATCTTATCACTTGTAGATACACACTCGTACATATGTATGTGTGGGTAATACGATACATGTGACACTTCGTTTTGAATAGTGGAATAGCATAATTCTGTACAATTGAATGTGGGATAGTGTAAGCCACTTTGTGCACCAAAATTTTAATTGAATTGAATAAATCTCTGCAAAATGACTTCCAAATTTTTATATTTTGCTTATGGAAGTAATTTACTTGCTAAAAGGATACACTTGAGCAATCCAACTGCAGTCGTGAAGGACATTGGTTATATAAAAGTAATTAACAAAGGATAAAGATGTATCCTTCTACTTGCTTTATATCTCTAAGTTTATATGTATATTGATTTTTATATCATATATATATATATATATATATATATATATATGATATAAAATTTTATATCATATATATATATGATATAAAATGTATATAAACATCATCATAAACATACATATATATACATACACATATATATCTGATTGTTTACGATGATGTTTATGATGATATATATATTTATCTTATTTTAAAAGCTGGACAAAATCTCTAAAAACCTATATAAAATATAAGATTCTAAAAAACTTGATATAAAATATAAGATTCTTTTTAGAATTAAATAAAAATATATTTTTAATAATTTACTGCAAAAATCTTGCAAAAGAAATTCAATTTTTCAAATTTCTAATCATTAAAACTAGAAAACTTGAATATTGTAAATTTGTAATTTATATTATTTAATATTTATCATATATATATATATATTTTTTTTTTTATTAGAATTTTAGATTGGATTTTCAAAGATATTCTACACGATGGCATGGAGCATCGGCAACAATTGTAGAAACAGAAAATTCAGTTGTATGGGGTGTGATCTGGGAATTAGATAGGAGTAACTTGTCTACATTAGATTATCAAGAAGGTGTTCAGGATAATATATATCGTGTACTGTCAGTAAATGTTGAAACTCCTAATGGTACAATTCTAAACTGTAGAGTATACCAACAATGTACTAATCCAAAGGAATATATGAAACTAGTAGATCTTTCGATGGATAGGAGACCTTCACCGTTATATCTGTATGTATATTTATAATTCAAAAACTTTATATCTTTCATATCTTTTACCGAAATTTTTATCTCAATTATAGAGATACAATATTGAAAGGGGCTCAAGAAAATAATCTTCCTACTGATTACATAGAATTATTAAAAACTATACCACATAATGGATATGAAGGAAAATATGACATCAGGTATAAGCAAGTTGTGAATATTTTTTGTTAAAATGAATTTTATGTAATAAATAGTTTTAACTCTTATAATACAATATTAATATTTTACGTATATTAAGGAGAAAAATATTATAATGTCTACCTGCTATCTGTAATAGCATTCCTAATATCTTTTTTCTGTTTTTCCATGGTTATATACAATGATGCATCACAGCCTTTCTCTGATTGAAGATTGATTTCTACAATGTTTTTATCATCTGACTTCTTTTGATAATGTTGATCAAGAGTCACATATTCCAATGCCATCTCTGCTGTCATTTTGTCTAATATGTGTCGGGGAATCTTTAGTTTCAAAAATTGTCTTTTGTTTATCTAAAAATATGTTATATATGGTGTAAATATGTCAAATTAAAAATTAAAAATAAAATTTAACACAAAAATTTATTATAAACAACTTTATGTGCAAAGTTTTATAAATATTCTCATTTTATATATATATATATATATATATATATATATATATATTAATTATATATATATTATTATATATATTAATTATATATATATAAATATTATAATGTTTCAATACTAAAATATACACATATAATGATATATACTTACATAAATATTTAATACAAAAATATGTTATATATGGTGTAAATATGTAAATTAAAAATTAAAAATAAAATTTAACACAAACATTTATTATAAACAACTTTATGTGCAAAGTTTTATAAATATTCTCCTTTTTTATATATATTGTTTCAACACTATATATATATATAAATATACACATATAATATATACTTACATAAACATTTAATACAAGTTTATAATCCATATCAATTTCTGGCCACTTTTGTTCGAGCACATCTTTGTCTAAGCTTACTTCATTATTATCTATAAGATGATGTTTCACAGAACAAAAAATAGCCCATAGCTCAGAGGCAAAGTGTGGTGCAAATGGCGCGAGCATTATAATTTGAACAGCTAATGCTCGTTCATATTCGCGACTTTTTCTCAAGCACTCTATGCTTACTTTTCGCAAACTATAATTATAAATTCAAACTTACTCAGTATATATTAAAATATTGCAATTTATAATTTAAATATTTATATAAAATATATTACTGAATATTTACCTGTTTGTAAGACCTTGCATTCTAGATATTGCTATACTAAGCTGTTGTGTTTTTACCATGTTATGTGTTACATTTTTGAGAAAATAATTTCGACTGTCAAACATATATGCATTATGTTCAACATATGTAGGATCAGTAGGTTCATTTTGAAATTCTTCCAAAGATATACAATCACGTTGACTTTTAAATTGTTTAACACTATTCCATATGCGATTTTGCCAATTCTTTATACCAGGAATAGCTGCAATATTGTATGAATGAATATATTAATATCTTTTAATATATTAGTTACTATATATTATCCCATAAATCACGACTGTTGTAGCAGGTGATTTTCAAAATACTTACTATCTTCCGACCAGTTTCTAGTAGATGTTGGTGCAACATCACCCAATATTAATAATCTAGTTGTATCTATTCCATATTTATGCAATAAGTTAAAAGGTTCAACTCCATTATATTTTGATTTGGACATTTTTTCCCAGCTCATAAAGACAACTTCTCCAGACTTTGTTTTATATTGGTCTTCTTCCTTTATTATCTCATCCTCTGTCACATATTTGCCAGTACTTTTAGTTTTATATGTTTTACCCATTATTACTCCTTGTACAAGAAGCTGTCTAAATGGTTCTCTACATGGTATAAGACCTTCTGAATGCAAAAAGTGACTTATAAACCTGGCATAATATAAGTGGAGTACAGCTAAAAAATATAAAAGTAAAGCATAAAATTTATAGATTAAGTTGGAATATAAATATATTAAGTTTAATGATTAAAATTATTGCTACTCTGTACCATGTTCTTTTCCGCCTATATAAAGATCTACGGGAAAAGCTTCTTTAACTTTTTCTATCGCAAACATCTCCTTTGTATTTTTGGGATCTATAAATCTTAGAAAATACCAGCTACTATCCACAAAAGTATCCATAGTATCAGCTTCCCTAGTTGCTTTTCCTCCACACTTGGGACATTCTGTCTGCAACCAATCTTTCACATCTTGGATAGAAAATCCTCTATTCGATGATGAATGTATTATCTTTGGTAATGTTACAGGAAGTTGATCGCGAGGTACTGGTTGAACACCACAATTTATACAATGAATAATAGGTATAGGTGTACCCCAATATCTTTGTCTAGAGATTAACCAATCTTGTAATCTCGAGCTTACTGGATATCCACCTATTCCCCATTTTCTAGCTTTCTGGACTATTTCAGATATCTTTTGTTGTTGCTGTTCATAGTTACGTATTGAATGTCGTGTAAATGGTATTCCAACTAACTCCGAAAATGTTAAATCGTCCATTGATGCCGAAGGTACACCTAAGCGGGTATCTCTCCATGGTGGGTAAATCACTTTATCAGTGATAAAAATCGGCAACTCATCACCAGAAAATGGATTTATTATTTTTGCATTTAAACCTTTTATTCCGACGTCTATATCATATGTATATTCTTTACGATGTAATATACTTTGAGGAGATATAGCAACAAACTTTGCGTGCTCTATAAATTCTGGCATATCGGTCCATAAATTGATTGTCTCCGGAAAATCTGGAATTTCGGATATCATTTTAAAATCGATATTAATGCCATTGCAATCACCTATCCAATGTTTCTGTAACTTTATGATATCTCTCCAGTCTTTCAAGTTTGGATCATCTAAACCCTCCATCAATGACCTGTCAACAACAAGGTGAACAAGTCGAGTAAAATCAAATTGATTTTCCAAAATACCATATATAATACTCTTAAACTTACTTTGCAAAAGCTGTTGTTTTAATAAACCATTGTTTTAATAATTTTTTTTCTACAATTGCACCAGATCTCCAAGATCGTTGATTCAAGTCTACCTGTTCTTCAGCTAATACAGTCTGATCAATAGGATCCCAATTAACATAAGCTTTTTTTTGATAGGCCAAACCTTTATCAAATAATTTTAGAAACAGATCCTGTGTCCATTTATAATAATCTGCATCGCAAGTTGCAAATTCCCTCTCCCAATCAAAAGAATAATTCAGCTTTTTCAACTGGTCGTGCATTGTCTTTATATTTTCGCTTGTCCATACAGCAGGATCAATTTTTCTTTCAATAGCAGCATTTTCTGCTGGTAACCCAAAAGCATCCCAACCCATAGGATGAATCACATTTTTACCTGATAAGATTTATTAAGTTAATTATTTTAGTCGATACTTGTAATTTAATCTGAAAAAATTATTTATTATAAAATATACTAAAAACATTTGCTTTTTTCTAATAAGATATAAATCTTGCATAATAAAATAGATTTCTTGTACAAAATCTTCACCTACCTTTGAGTCTATAAAATCGAGCTAAAACGTCACTTATTGTATAAACTCTAACATGACCCATATGCAAAGCACCAGATGGATATGGAAACATAGAAAGAACATAAAATTTATCTTTTATGTCATTAGCATTGCATTTGTGAGAATTAACTTTATCTCTCCAATAATTTTCTATTTTTTGCTTTATCGACAATGTACATTCTGTATTCTGTAAAAATCAGTGAGTCGTTAGATAAATAACATAACAATGTTTAAGCGAGATATATATTTTACAAAAGATAATTATTTTAATAAAATCCATTTTCATTTCAATATATATACACATACATGTGTGTATTTGTGTTGTATGAAAGAAGATTATATATATATATTACAAATTTGTATTATGTTTATGTAAATAAAGCCAATGTGACGTAATTATTGTGGATGTGTATTTGTAAATTTGATATTTAAACAAAACAACGATAAATAAATATTACGACAATATTTAAATAAATATTATACCAATCTATCGATTGCAGGCGATGATCGCTGAAGATTACTGAAAAATCTCCGCATTTTATATCGAGATATTACTCTCAGAAAACGTGACATATTTTGCATCATTACAAAATGTAATTTTTGCCGTACAAATAAAGTAACATAGGACGATACTTGTTAATTCAAGAGTTTAAGAGTATACATCTTATTCCATGTACGCTGCCATCTTTCTATACAACTCTAGATAAACTGACGTTTATAAATCGGACTATAAATTATACTTATTTTGTTGTTTTGTGCAACATTAAATATGTTTAAATGTCATCATTAGTAATTTAATTATTATTGCAGAGAAATACGCCGAAATATATTTTTTCCGTGTAAGAGAAATTTTAGCTTCCAAAAGTGCCACTTCCGGCTTTCCTTCATGCTCCTTTTCCGTTTTCACGTCGATAAGTCGGTGAGTGAATCGTGTTACGGAATTTTCAATCTACGTAAAGTACTAGCATCTTATATTTTACGTGAAATGTATAGCAATAAAAATATATAACTTTTTATGTTTTTAATTATATTTGTTTTATATGTGTAATTTTTATAAAAAGATAATTATTTTTTTCAATTTGTGGTTAGTTATAGTTTGAGAGGTTAGACTCCAGAGAGTGACTTCTGTTAACGTTTGTTTTTTTTATTTTGCAACATATATTTTTTGTCATGAAAATTTAATAGGGCTATCAATATTAAATATTCTCAATAAATATTAATGATTTATATGTATTTATTTATATGTATCGTATATTGTGTTATAATGCAAATGTGTTAACCTCTTTCTTTGTAATGAAATTGCACAATTAAATACACTTAATTAAATTAAATAAATTTAGCTATTACAAGTATTTAACATCAATTATGTATAAAATTAAGTATTACTCTTATTATATATTATCGCAGATATTAAACATCCACCATGGGTAAGGGAAATAATATGATTCCAAATGGCCATTTCCATAAGGATTGGCAACGATATGTAAAGACCTGGTTTAACCAGCCAGCGAGAAAAATCCGCCGTAAACAAAAACGTGTCAAGAAAGCACGAGCTCTCGCACCCAGGTATGTACACATATGAGATATATTCTACTAAATTTATAAATTATTTTTACATCTGTATGGAAGATTTTGCTTTGTATAACTATATCTTTCAAATTTTTATACATATGTAATAAAAATCTTACTCTAACTTTTGTAATTAAATATATTATTAATTATTTCTTAGGCCTGTAAATCTTTTGAGACCTGTTGTACATTGCCCGACGTTCCGTTATCATACTAAAGTTCGTGCTGGTAAAGGTTTTACACTGGCTGAATTGAAAGCTAGTGGTTTAAACAGGAGATTTGCTAAAACAATTGGCATTGCGGTTGACCCCCGTCGTCGCAATAAGTCTATTGAGTCTTTACAAACAAATGCTCAACGTTTAAAGGAATATAAGTCTAAATTGATTCTCTTCCCAGTAAATGAGAAAAAGGTATGTAATTTACTGTAATTTGCTATATTAATGTTAATAGTTTTTAGTAATTATATTATTTTTTTAATATTTAAGAATATATATTTACTTGATTTGATTTATGTTATATTAATGTAAATTATGTATTTATATTTTATCTTCTTTTTTTTTTTAATTTTAGCCTAAGAAGGGTGATGCAACTGAAGAGGAGAGGAAATTAGCAGTCCAAATTAAAGGTGATCCAATGCCTATACGTCATCAAGCACCTGCCAAGGCAAAGGCTCGTCCTATTACTGAGGAGGAAACTAAATTCTCAGCATATGTAACTCTTCGTAAGGCAAGAGCAGATGCACGATTAGTGGGTATTCGTGCAAAGCGTGTTAAAGATGCTTCGGAAAATCCTGATGAAGTGACAAAAGTTGCCAAGGACAAGAAAGCCAAGAAGTAACATCTTTTTTCTGTATAAAAATAAAACTTTTCTGTAATACAGGATAATTTTATATTATTTTATATTGAAAACCTTGCATTTATTTTAATTTATTTTAATCTATGTAATATGATAGATTAATTTTTTCACAATTGATGTTTGTGAAGAAAGAGAAAAGAAATACATTGAAATTGGTAAAATTATAAATTTTTTATTAGATTTATCTTTTTGCGGTATGTAATTTTCTTATAGTGTATTTTTTACATTTTTAACTTCAAAAGTAAAAGAATCATATCTTGTCGAATTAATATAAAATCTTTTAATGTAGTTATAAGATTTTTTCAATGCAAGATATGTAGATACACGATTGTCAATTAAAAAATTTTCTATTTGAAACTTAATTATATGACATATTTATATTTTCTTGTTGGAAAGTTTCCTACATATATATATTTTTTATTTAAAGTAGTTTAATGATTACATGTGATTATTTTATTCAAAATGATAAAATAATTATAGCTTTTTATATTTTCGTCATGTGTAATGTATTTCAACAGAAATGAAAAAAGAAAAGAGTAATTGAATTTGTATTTTATAAATAATTCTTTTTGATGAAAAATTCAATAATTGGGTTGCGTTTACATTGTGTCCGACACTTCTAATTGTCGTACATGCAAGATATATGTAGATATATGACTGTCAAATTTAAAATTTTTGGGATTTCAAAAATTTTCTATTTGAAACTTAATTATATGACATATCTATATTTTCTTGCTGGAAAGCTTCCTACACATATATAATTTTTATTTAAAGTAATTTAATGATTACATGTAATTATTTTATTCAAAATAATAAAATAATTATAGCTTTTTATATTTTCATGTGTAATATATTTCAACAGAAATGAAAAAAGAAAAGAATAATTGAAATGGTATTTTATATATAATTCTTTTTAATGAAAAATTCAATAATTGGGTTGCGTTTACATTGTGTCCGACACTTCTAATTGTCGTACACGTGCAATATTCGCTTAATGTAAAAAACCATCGCCTGTATGTTATGTCGCCATAGTAGCGCATCTGTCATTTCAATAATTACATGTTATAAGCAAGCCAGAGAGAAATTTAAACTACTTATAAAGAGCGGATGTTAAATTTGTCGCAGTTGCCTTATCTCTCGGATAGTGACCGAACAGTTGTATAGCTGAATAAATTGATTGGCTCTTCGTTCGATATTAATAAATTTTATCGAAACATACGAGGTTAGAATAGCAATGTATAGAAATATAAAGGACTGCTTTATACTTCTCCATAAGTGTTGATTTTGCGATGCAAAGATTGCTTCGAATTTTGTCCTGCTAACGTGATGGAGCTAAAAGTGTGGGTGGAGGGAATACAACGTATCGTATGTGGTGTTACTGAGAGCACTACTTGTCAAGTATGTATTATGAATCATGTTAGGATATTGGTTTATATACATATGATTTATTAGTCTATCAGTTATGTGTTATCATAAGATAATTTAAAATATTACAGCAATTTGTATATTTTCCACGATAATATTATTATTTAAAAATCGTGTTTGCTCTATTCCATTTCTGAAAATTATCCATGCTTATTTCTAAAAGCTGCTATTGACCATACTTTAATTATAGGATGTGGTGTATGCCCTTGCTCATGCTACAGCTCAAACGGGTAGATTCACTTTGGTAGAGCGTTGGCGAACTAATGAACGTTTATTAGCACCTTATGAAAATCCTCTTAAGGTCAGACATATGTCATACATCGGATATACATATATCATAAACTTGAATAACCCTTAATTTAATTAATTAAATGGAAACTTTAATCAAATATAATGATTATATTAATATAATTATGAATGTGAAGGAAGAAAATACTAAATTTGGCATTATTGTATCATCTATTTATATAGATTTTGATGAAATGGGGTGAATATTCCTCGGAAGTTCAATTAATTTTAAGACGTTCCACATCCGAAAATAATAAAACAAATGCATTACCATCTCGATTAACATATGCATCACGTGCAAGTGGATTACCAATTTCATTACCTGAACATGGAACAGGTACCACTAGTGTGCAAGATGATATCAAAAATATATCAACTTCACAAAGTTCAGATTTTGATGATATGCAAGGAGGATTAGAAAGAAATCGAGATACTAGAAAATCACTTACATTTAGTGGATTTCATGGAGATACAGAAGGCAGTACCGAGGTAAATATATATTTAAATGAATACTTTTAAATAAAAAAATAACATGTATATAAATCACATACATAAGTAAGCAAATATATATGTAGTAAACAAATCTCTTTGTTTAAAATATAGTGTTAATATATATTTGATATAGAAAATAATATCTTAATCGTTACTTGGAATAAATGGTTTCTGCAAAATTGTTTATGCTTGATTTTTATAGTGTGTGCTCTTTATAATTAATTTTATATTTATTTGTAAAAAATAAAAACATTATAGATTCAAATGGAAAATAATGTTGCTGTAGTCCAACCCACACCACATTTAAAAACCAAGGATTTGAATATTCGGAAAAATATACAAAAACCTGCACAATCACCTACACGAGGGATTAATACTGAAAGTGAATATTGTTCTACTATAATTTGTTCATATTCTGAATATATCTACACAACATATATATATATATACATATATTTATTTTATTCAAATCTGTTATAAAAATTATACTGTAATATCCATATTATTATTTACATTATTCTTTTTTTAGGCACAACACAACACTTGTCACAAAAAAAGGTACGTGAGGTCCCACCTTACAGAGAACCTCCAGGACCTGCTTCACCGCCATTACGAACTTTGCCACCTTATCGTGATCCACCACCGCCGAATTTAAACAGTCCTGGAAGATCGCAATTTGTGCATAGTATCAATAGTGGAAGTCCTCATATCCACAAAGACGATCAACCATCTTCTAGTAATTCTATAAAATTAAAAAGGAATCTCATTCAGGTTTTGTCTCTGTTATGATTATATTTGATAGAATAATTTATAAGATTGCATCATACATTTGTAACATAATTTTTAGGAGTTCCAAGATACAAAAGTACCCACACAATCTGTTAATCCACTCCCTGCAACAGCACAAAATATAGCAACTGTTGCTTATACTCAACGATATGTTGAACTCTTAAGACTAGTCAATAAGCAGCGAGACACTATTAATGCTCAACAAGCTGATCTTACAAAAGTAAGATATCTTTTTTTTAATTAATATAAACTCCTTTCTTTCATAATAATTGTTTACTTTTATTGATTGATTTGATTTATTTATTTACAAATATTGATAATAAATTATTCATTTATTTTAGTTTGATGCAGAAATATTATATTGGGAAACAAAGAACAGAGAACAAATGCATCAAATGGATTATATTTCTCAAGAAATGAATCGTATTGAATCTACTGGTCGTATTATCGAAGAACAGGTATAATAATTTTTATTTTGTGTGGATGATTAATATACATTATGACATTCATGTTATTTATAATTTATTAATTTATGTTTGTTTTAATTAGCTTAAAGAATTAACTCATGTAGAAGAAGAGAGTGAAATAGTTAGACAGCAAGAAAAAACGCTGAAATCGGAAATAACATTGCTTAGATCAAAGCTTGCTAATTGTGAGACAGAGTTGCTTCAATGTAAAAACAAGATTAGGTATATCCAAATAATACATTAGATAGAGTTACAAAAATTGTCATCTATATATTATTAATGCATTCTAATACTATTACAAAAATATTTTTTTGATATTGTGATATAAAACATTCTTGAATAAGATATAAAAATATATAATGAGAATCATACCATTGCAGGCTAGTTATGGAAGAACTTGCAATGGAACAACATAATATAAACCGTGAAACAGATGAGCGGCAAATCATGGAACGGAAAATAATTAGTGAAGTGGAACATTTACAAAATGAAGTAGAACAGGCTAAACGCGCAACTGAGTTAGCCTCGCAACATGCAGATTCTTTAAAATTAGAAGTAGTTAACTTAGAATCAGCTATAGTTGAAAAGAAATTACAAGTAGAAAGATTGGTAGCTGACATGAAGGAGGCAAACTTGCAAAGTTTAGCTGTTGCATGTTCAGATGAACAAGTCAAACCTTTATTAGAAGGTATTTATCTATATATATTTTGTGTATATTATACTAAATTTCATGCATATAAATGTCTAACAAATATAACAAATATTTGTTAGGTGCTCATAAGCCAGGAAGTACCCGTAAGATGATAGGGTCACCAAGACAATTGGAAACTGCAGTGCCCACAAGCAAAAATCCGCATGGTGTGTGGGTATAAATAATAAAAAAAAATAAACAGTATACCTGACGATGTTATCTTATGTGAGAAATATATCAAAGAACATATATATCAAAATACTTCTATATTAATATTGTTTCAGTAAGTACTTAAAATAATGTCTTTATATTTTTATGCATTTATTGCAATAAGAGATTAATTAGTATTATAATTATAATTATAATATGTTATTATGTGTCATTAATAAGTTTTTATTTTGTATTTATATTATAGTACATGTAGTGTCTCATTTATTCATAAAATATTTGTGAGATTGTTAATCAAATAGTTACATAAACTATTCATATGTTTTTGAAAATATATTCTACATCATATACATTTGCTTGATAAAATAACTACTAGAGAAAAGGAATTTTTATTTCAAATATTATATGCATTTGTTAACAAATTTTGTCTTTTCATGACTAACAATAAGAAAATTTTTCATGTTAGACAATAATTTTAATTTGTATGTGTGTGTGTGTGTGTGTGTGTGTGTGTGTGTGTGTGTGTGTGTGTGCGTGTGTGTGCGCACGTGTGCGCACGCGTGTCTGTATGCATGTGTGTAGGAAACTAATATTTCCAATAATAAAATTACGAGATACATACAAAATTATGTTTATTTTAATGAAATAGCTAATTTGAAATGTCATGTCTATGACATTAAGAAATATTTTGCCATAATAGATTTAATTATGGTTTTATATATTATAAGATGAATTATATTATAAATATCTCATAATATTTGATAATGATCGATCTATATTCAATAGTTAATTGTTTCATGATATTTTTAGTACTTTTTATATAGTATCAATGTTATAGTAAAACAGCAAAATTTCAAAGTTAGAAAATCTCCAAATTTTATTTTTGACAATTTTTGAAATTTGTTTGATTATGTCATAACTTAGAAATAATTATGTTTTAAATTAAGGGAATATTGTTTATCTTAAAATTACTCTAAAACTCAAGATTAATATTTTTATGACATTGGGATATATGAAACAAAACGTATATGTATATAATTTCAAAAATAAATTTAAATAAAAAATTCGACAATTTTACTGTTTTACTGTAACATCAATACATATATATGTAATCTTTTATACATAAATCTCAAGTATGTACATACAGTATTGATATTTTTATTAAGAACACATTTATTGTATACATAATTATATCATGAAAGATAAAATATATATCTCTCTTTAGTGTAAATATATCAATATTATAAATAATTATAATATCTTACACATAAACAATTATATGAATGATCGATGTAATAATTATATTAGTTAAATGTATATTTGACAAATATCTAGAAAAAGTATAAATAACATTGGAAAAAATATATGATACGTTATACAATATTAAATTAAGAAAAATAATTTTGGATTTCTCAATTGATAATCATGCAGCACTTTTTGGAATTAGCCGATCTATTGATTAATAATTGAACATGTCGGTAACGTCCCCAATTCCACTTTTCCCGCGCTATTTAAAGTTTATTTGGTTATGTCAAAAACTACATATCACGGAATAGCAGAGACAAAGTATTATAGGTTTTAGCTCTATATTTATATGTTAATAAACGAAAAATAAATTATTGTTAAATGTCATTTTATTCAAGCCATCATACATATTTGTGAATTATAATTTTCTCTTTTGTTTGTGTACAACACAATTTTAGAGTAAAAGTTCGATACATAATTTGTACATAAGAAGTATTTAAATTAGGATAAAATGAGTTTGTGGGTTGATAAATATCGTCCAACGACACTTGCAAAGCTAGATTATCATCTTGAACAAGCGGAGGACTTAAAAAATATGGTAATTACAATATTGAGATATTTTGATACATTATTATCTTGAAAAAGAAGTTAGGTTAGATTAGTAAGTTTTATAGAAAGTTTTATAGAAGCGCTTTTCAACAAAAAACAATATATAATTTTTTTTTTTTAAATGAAAATATATTTGAGAAAAAAATGATTTATTAAAGTATTGAATTAAAATTAGCATACATATGAAATTAAATTGGCTTTTAGATTCTCTATAGCTATTATAATTTATAATTTAGCTATTATAATTTATAATTTATATATAGATTACAGAAAAAAAGAACTTTTAAATTAAAAAACTATAAAAGATATTAAAGATTATTTTTAATGTAAAATTTGATAGCCATTCTTAAGAAATTTTAAAAGTTTATTAAAAATAAAAAGTATAAAGAGTATAAAAAATTATATAATTCTATTAAATTGGCTGGAAAATATAAGTTGTATTTAAATTACTGTTTCTCTATTTAAAACATAGGTACAGAAACGAGACTTTCCTCATTTATTAGTTCATGGACCTCCTGGTGCAGGAAAAAAAACTAGAATATTATGTATCTTAAGAGAACTTTATGGGAGTGCAGCTGAGAGATTAAAAGTCGAAAATATGCAATTTGAGGTTTGTGTAAAATATTTTATCTTTTTTTTTATCTTAATGCAAAACTAACTGGACTTTGAAGCTTAGAATTTTATTGCTAGTATAATAATTTTGAAGTTAAATTACATCTTTAGAATTATGAATATATTTTAAAATGTATAAAAGGATATAAATTAATAATACTATATCAAATATTATTTTACACAGTATTTTATATTATATATAATTTTTGTAGACAGCATCTAAAAAGAAGTTAGAAATATTAACTATAAGTAGTAATTACCATACAGAAGTAAATCCGAGTGATGCAGGAATACACGACAGAATTGTCGTTATGGAATTAATAAAAGCTACTGCACAAACACATCACATAGATGTAGGCCAGAAAGAGTTTAAAGGTATAAAAAAATACTAAAAATAATTTTTTTAAAATACTAAAAATAATTTTATTATATGATTAAAATTATATATTATTATAGTGATATTATTATCAAATGTGGATCAACTTACAAGAGACGCTCAGCATGCACTTCGTAGAACAATGGAAAAATATATCAGTACATGCAGATTGATTCTTTGTGCAAATTCCACATCACGAGTTTTACCTGCAATTCGATCACGATGTGTGCGAATCAGAGTTCCTGCTCCAACTGGCTCCGAAATAAAAAATATTTTACATTCGATTTGTAAACGTGAAGGACTTCATTTGCCAGATGAATTTGCTAATCGAGTAATTGAAGCTAGTGGCAGAAATCTTAGACGGGCAATATTAATGCTTGAGGCTTGCAAAGTCGAACAGTAAGTACATGATATAAATAAATATATATGGAGATATATACATGTAACAAAAATTATAGGAGTTTTAAATGATTTTAATATATTTTTACTATATTTTCTTCATTTGAAAATTATTTTGTTTCCAGATGTCCATTTACTGCTGATCAAAAAATAACAGAACCGGATTATCAAGTATATATACGAAATACAGCTAATATGATGGTTTCTGAACAATCTCCCAAAGTACTTCTAGAGGTACGCAACAGATTTTATGATCTTTTAACACGTGCTATACCGTGTGATCTGATATTCAGAGGATTACTGAAAGAATGTATAAAAAATTGTGATGATCAATTAAAAAGAGAAATTATTGGTATTGCATCAGAATATCAGCATAGAATGATACGTGGCTCAAAACCTATTTTTCATTTAGAAGCTTTTGCCGCATGTTATATGGCGATTTACAAAAAATATATTGAATCATCTTTGGAAGGTTTTATGTGAAATTCCTATCTTTAATGTTTTGTATCTTCGATAAAATGGTAATTTTTACGAATATTGTTTTATTAATTATTTGAATGTTATAAATATCTTAATAAAAGTAAAAATGATGTAGATTTGTAACAATTTTAAAAATTACAAAAAATTCTAATTCTTATGTCTGAATTTTCTAAATTAAATCATACTAAAAACTTTTATCTGTTCTTTTCTTCAAAATCATTAATAATCTTCACCAATAATAATCTTCTATGTTTATTTCAGAGTTAGCGCAATGTACATTATTTTATTTATAGATATAAACATTTTAAAATCATAACTATAATACTTATTCAATTTTAAATTGGCATATAATATTAAAAAAAGCTAAATTTTTTATATACAAAGTACATGATAGTTCCAATAATTTATTTTATTATGTTGTTGGTATAATTTTGTAATACAATGTAGATTTAGAGTAGTCTGGCAATACAGTTAATTTTAAAGAAAAGTTATTTCCTAATATAATAAGTGACACTTACATTGCTGCAAGTGCAAGTGCAGAAATCACTGCTAATGCAGATACTAAATATCCAGTGCTATATACTTCCTTAATTGTTAGAAACTTTCCAAAATCCCAAGCCTGTAAATTTATAGAATTATATATTAATTTAATTAGCATACAATTAAAATTGTGCAATATTATTTGTGAAATTATAGCATCGACTTTTGAGTAATGATTATGAATTGTCTATATTAATTTATACATGTTGAATTTGCATCTTTTATTAATTTTCAAATAAATAATCTCTTACCAAATGACGCATTCCATTAAATGTATGGTAAGTAGCAGGCAGAGCAAGTAAGAGTTTGCCGATATACAATACAGGTAAAGGTAAACATAAATTATCCACTGTTTCTATGAAGCAGGGAATACCACCAGGTATAAGTAATGTACCTGGAATATTAAAGTTATAGTTATCAATTTAAACATTGTTTGTGTTACATATATTAATTTGTCCTAAGGAAAATGAAAAAAAATTCATAAATTTATTTTAAAACAGAAATGTCAATTTTATCACTTGTATTTTTGTTTATTTCCAGCCATTTATTTAGATAAATTAAGCTAAATAAAAGGATGTATGTTAAATATTATTATATATCTTACCTAAACCTAAAAACATTGCATAACTGGCTAACATAATACCAGTAGTCCTGTGCGTTACTGAGAGCACTGATGTCAATTGAATTTCATAGATAGTCAAGTGCGGTGACATTGGTCTTTTTAGACGCTTATTCTTCTCATCATGAGATTCACAAGTTATACCTGAAGGATTCGAAACTGCGGCGCTAAGGGGACTAAAACATAATATTTTTATTGCTATTGAAAACAAAATTTCTGACTAAGAATTTTTCTGAAGTTACGTATATATAACAGTATGTATAGTTAATATACGCAACTTATAATTATAATTATTTTAGCGACTGAGAGAGGTAAAAAAAAATCTTGTAGCGTAAAGATTATAAAAATCTTTCTTTTCAGTATATGACAGTTATGTAAAAAGATAAGGTTATATATTATGTAATATTTTTACCTGCACATGTATAGATTCCGAAAATGACGAAAATCGACATTACGCCGACAAAGAAGTCTAGAAAAAGCAAAAAAACGTCTTTGTTTACACCAAGTAGTTAATAAAATAATAACTTTTTAATAAAAATCACAATTTCACAACATACCTCGTATAGACCAGTGCCATTTTTGTAAATATACTGCGCTCTCGACTTCTGATCTGATAAACAAGAGTCACGTGTCACCAATAATAATGTTAGATCTTACGAGTAGATTTTTAAATTATAAATATTTTTGTAACAATACATGAATATAAGCTCTTTAATGTCTCGATATAAGATGCAAAAATTTTTCAGTAATCTTCAGCGATCATCGCCTGCAATCGATATATTATTTATTTAAATATTTATCGTTATTTTGTTCAAATATTAATATAAAATTATAATATAAAATAATATTTAATAAAATTATAAATTATATAAAATTTACAAATACACGTCCACAATAATTACATCACAACAGCTTTATTTACAAACAAAATACAAGTTTATAATATACTTATAGAACAGCATTCCACACAATACATTCAAATGCACACACACGTGTCAACCGCTATACAGTCATAATTTTATGGGATAATATATAGTATAATTAATATTAATTTATTCATACAATATTGCAGCTATTCTTGGTATAAAAAATTGACAAAATCGCATATGGTACAGTGTTAATTTAAAAGTGAACGTGACTGCATATCTTTAAAAAAACTACAAAATGAATCTACTGATCCTAAATATATTAAACACAATGCATTTATATGTTTAATAATCGAAATTATTTTCTCAAAAATGTAACACATAACATAATAAAAACACAACAGCTTAGTAGCAATATCTAGAATGCAAGATCTTACAAACAGGTATAAATATTCAGTAATAGTCTATATATATAAATATTTAAATTATAAATTGAAATATTTTAATGTACTGAATAAGTGCGAATTTATAATCATAGTTTGCGAAAAGTTTGCAGAATGTTTGAGAAAAAGTCACGAATATGAACGAGCATTAGCTGTTCAAATTATAATGCTTGCATCATTTGCACCACACTTTGCTTCTGAACTATGGGCTACTTTTTGTTTTGTGAAACATCATCTTATAGATAATAATGAAGTAAGCTTAAACAAAGATGTGCTTGAACAAAAGTGGCCAGAAATTGATATAGATTATAAACTTGTATTGAATTATATTTATGCAAATATATATCATATGTGTATATTTTTTAATATTGAAACATTAATATATATAATATATAAAAGATTTATATAAAATATTTATATAAATCTTTGCACATAAAGTTGTTTATACATATAATAAATTTTTGTTACCTTATTTTATGTACCTTATTTTTAATTTTTAATTTGACTTATACATCAAATATTTTTAGATGAACAAAAGACAAATTTTTCAAATTGAAAATTCCCTGAGACGTATTAGACAAAATAACAGCAGAGATGGCATTGGAATATGTGATTCTTCATTGACATTATCAACAAAATTGAGGTGAAAGGTATTGTAACAATCAATCTCCCATTAAAAACATGGCACGCGCAATAGTTGTACCCTTCCAATAAGCAAAATCACTACAGAAAAAAGATATTAGGAATATTACATATAGCAGATAGACATTATACTCTTTTGCTTAATATACATAAAATATTATATTATAAGAGAGTTAAAATTATTTATTATATAAAATTCATTATAACAAAAAATATTCATAACTTGCTTATACCTGTCGTCATCTTCTTCATATCCATTATGTGGTATAGTTTTTAATAATTCTATATAATCAGCAGGAAGATTATTTTCTTGAGCCCCTTTCAATAATGTATCTCTATAATTGAGATAAAAATTTTATTAAAAGATATTAAAAATATCAAGTTTTTGAATTATAAATATACATACAGATAAAATGGTATAGGTCTCCTATCCATTGGAAGATCTGCTAGTTTTACATATTTCTTTGGATTATTACATTGTTGGTATACTCTACACCTTAGAACTGTACCATTAGGAGTTTCAACATTCATTGACAGTACACGACATATATTATCTTGAACACCTTCTTTTTTATTTAATGAAGACAAGCCACAGTAGTCGATTTCCCAGATTACACCCCATACAACTGAATTTTCTGTTTGTACAATTGTTGCCGATACTCCATTATATATTTTAGAATATCTTTGAAAATCCAATCTAAAATTCTAATAAAAAAAAAATATATATATGTGTGTGTGTGTGTGTGTGTGTGTGTGTGTATGTGTGTGTGTATATGTATGTGTGTATGATAAATAATGTTATATAGTAAATATAAATTATAAATTTATAATATTCAAGTTTTAAAAAATTTTTAGAAATTTTAAGAATTTAATTTTTTTGCAGTAAATTATTAAAAATATATTTTTAATTTTGAAAAGAATCTTATATTTTATATAAAGTTTTTTAGAGATTTTGTCTAGTTTTTAAAATAAGATATATGAATCTGATTTTGTTATGATTATATATCATAAAAATCAATATACATATAAACTTAGAAATATAAAGCAAATAGAAAGATACATCCTTATTCTTTGTTAATTACTTTTATACAACCAATATCTTTCATGACTGCATTGAAACCGCAGATGTGCCGTAACTTATCACCAAATAAATTACTTCCATAAGCAAAATATAAATACTTGGGCATTTTGCAGAGATTTATTCAATTCAATTAAAATTTTTTGTTACGTGAACACACTACTTCGCATCATAGACTTAGGTCGTAGGTCTAGGTAATTTAAACCTTAAGAGATTGATCATCAATCACAGTCAAGTATGAAGAGAATACTCGGCTGTGATTGGTCAATTTCTTAAGGCTTAGAGCTTAAATTACCTATTGTAGATCGGGACTTCTGGCGTTTCGAATGGTCGGGTTTGATCCGACCCGGGGTAGTTTACTAGACATCATTCTTCTGAAGAATGGCTATGATTGGTCAATGACGTTTAGTAAACTACTCCGGATCGGATCAAACCGACCATTCGAAAACGCCATTAGTCCCGATCTACAATAGATAATTTAAGCCCTGAGCCTTAAGAAATTGACCAATCACAGCCGAGTATTCTCTTCATACTTGACTGTGATTGGTCAATTTCTTAAGGCTTAAATTATCTATTGTAGACCCGGCCTTATGAGCCCTGCAGCACACAAAAATATGTAAGCAGTAAGACGTAAATAGTAAGGAAATCAACAAATCGGGTTTTTTACGTTTTAATATGGCTGATTTCTTTACTGTTTGATCACGATTGATCGATTTTCTTACTGCTCACGTTTTATTACTTACGTATTTTTATGTGCCAAGGCCCTATTTCTTTAAATCTATAGCGGCAGTCAACAACATTCTCAAATATATATGAAAATATCATATATGTGAAAATTTCAAATAATGTATAAAATCAGTTTTATAATAAAATTGTCGACTAAATTCAAGTTTATTATATATAAAGATCTTTAGAAAATAATTTGTACATTTATATCTAATTTTATTGTTGACATAATATTATTAATTTACATTTTATCTCTATGAAATAAATTTTTTTTATTAATTCACAGGAAAGCAAAATTGTTTATTTAATTTATTTTAAAGGTAATACTTAAAAATAAATTAATAATTTAATAATATTTTATAGTATTTTTTATAGCTTTCTGTGACTTTATATTAATTTAAATTTGGGATGATACAGTATTATTATCGACACATTATCAAATCGTTTTTTAACATACAATAGATGACGCTACTAACGCAAATTTTATTTTTTCAAATACATGTTGTTTCTAGCAAAGTAGAATTTTTAAGGAACGTGATAAGCAAGTTCATTTTTATTATCACATCATATATTATTAAGAGGAATCTCTTTAGAATATAAGGTTAAATTTATATATCGAATTATGTATGATATTGACATTAGTGGATTATAATATAGTGAAAAAATAAAATTGCATGAATTGAAGAAGTTTGAAATAACAACTCAAGGAAAAGAGCACTTGATTTTGGAACGATATTTGTTTAAAATAACAATCTTTATTATTTACATCAAGGTATATAAGACAAAAAAAATTTAATAATAGAAAATTTATTACACATAAGTGGCATAGCTAGGAATTATATTCTTATTGCTTCTATATTCTTTTTTTTTTGTTTTTTAAATTAATTAAAAATTTATTTTTATAAGAAGCACATAAAACTCATAATGTACATAGATAGACAAATTGCTTAGAAATAATCCTCGTTTTCGATCGATAATAGATTGTACATGATATTATTTTCGTAAGTGTCGTCAAACCCGTATCTGAACCCTAATAAAAAGAAATATATATATATATATATATATATATATATATATATATACAATATTGCTTTCCTATGAATTAATAAAAAAATATTTATTTCATATAGATAAAATGTAAATTAATAATATTATGTCAACAATAAAATTAGGTATAAATTTACAAATGTGATTATATATATATATATATATATATATATATATATATATAAAATTTCTTTTTATTAAATTACAATTATCTTTTTATTAAATATATACATGTATGTAAAGTCCGTTCTGAGACGAGACGCAAAAGAAACGAACCGAGCAAAAATCACGGAATTTGGAAGAAATTTTCAAAAATGTAAATAACAAAGTCTGGCTGAATAATCGCGCGCTTGTAAGTCTCGTCTCGCGACAAGCCGTGCACATCATTCCGAAGTAGTTATCTCCGTTTTGGCGCAGCCGCGGTCGGCGGTGGCGAGCGCAGCGCCGCCGCGCGTATTGCGCCCGAACTAATTTGACCGCGTGCGGAGTGGTGGGGGTAGGCCGAAGCGAGGGAGCGTGCGTCTACGTCAGGATAAGCTCCGAGCTTATTGGTCCCGGTCCATTGTTGCGTATTGATTGCTGCGGAGCAGTGGTATGGTCGTCGGGACACTCGGTCGTCCTCGTCGTCGTCGTCGTCGTCGTCGTCGTCGCCGTCGGTGGTGCTCAGCCGATTAGGTTAAGAGGAGCGGGCGCAGATAAAAAGAAATAGTCGTCGTCGCGCGTTTCGATCGCGTTTACCACGTTCACCCTGTACGCGCGTACACTTACATATTATAAATAGAGAAATTAAAAAAAAAAATATACATATATATAAAAATATACGAGCGAGTATATACATATATATATATAAGCACGAAAACGGAAGTATCTGTCGCATCGTACTTATGTATTTAAAGCGCGCGTAGTGTAACAGGCGGTGGTGGTGTCAGTGGATTGTTTTCCTGTTGTTTTTTCCGTTGCTCCAGATTCTCTTTCGCGGGACTGAGAGAGATCCTCGCGAGATATCAACGGCGGCGGCAGCAGCTGCCGCCGAACGTGGTGCGAACGAATCGCGGGCCCGATTCCCTCGCCGTCAGGACGAAACGAAACGAAACGAAACGGAACGGAACCGTGCTCCGACTTGGCTACGGGGGCAGAAAGCGGAGCGCGTTCGTCAAGGACGAGGACACCGAGTTTGGATCGGTGCTGTGTTCCCAACGAAAACATCGATACACCTTCTTATTGGAGCAGATTCGTGTAAAACAGCGAGTCATCGGACAGTGCGTCGCCAGGACGACAGTGATCGAGTGATAGAGAGCGAGGGAAGAAGCATTCTCGGAGCGAGTAGATACAGACGTATATAAGAGGATCGAAGAAACGAGGGTAAGAAAGAGAGGAGAAGGAAAAAAGAGAGGGTGCGAGAAGATGGATGTGTGTGTGTTTGAGAAATTGAGAGGGTGAGAGCGCGCGAGAGCGAGCGAGTGAGCGAGAGAAAGAGAGAGAGAGAGAGAGAGAGAGGGAAGCAATTTTGGAGCGCCAGGAGTGTGCGTGACAAGGAAGGAGATAGAAAAAGAGATCTCGATGATTGTCCAGTTAACGCGCGCTGAAATCTCGCGGTTGGCGGCATCGCGAGGACGCGGAGGCGGCGCGAAATTATGAAGCGCATAAAGTGCGCCCTACTGGCCGTCGCAGCTGCCGCTGATTGTGATAGCCGCCGGTGAATGTGTGACCCGGGGGCAGCAGAGATCCGCCGGGATGACGACCGAAGGGACGACCGAGCAGCCCCCGGTAGACGACTGCCTCAAGGAGCGGAAATGGTGGTGCTTCCTGCTGTCGAGCATCTTCACCTTCCTTGCCGGGCTGCTGATCGTGCTCCTCTGGCGTGCGTTCGCCTTCCTCTGCTGTCGCAAGGAGCCCGAACTATCTCCAAATGACCCGAAGCAGAAGGAGCAGAAGACGGCCCGCCAGGGCAAGGAGTTCGAGGGGACTTTTATGACCGAGGCCAAGGACTGGGCCGGCGAACTGATTTCCGGGCAGACCACCACTGGACGCATCTTGGTGAGTCTGTTGCTTGATTATTGCGTGTTTCCTCGCGTCAGATGTTTGCGTTGGAGGGATGTATGATGGGCAGTCGGAATTAAAATACTGGCGTGCGATAAAAAATTTAAATTTAATTAATTCGCGTGTGACCTACACAGAAAAAAAGGAAGTGTCAAATGAAAAGTTAGATACCTAAACTAACGCGTTCATTGTTTCGTATATACGCAATAATTTCTAATCCTTTTAGGAGAATTTAATAATTTTCAATTTCAACAATATTATCTTAATATACTGTCTTATTTTAATATTGCAATTGTCACCTCAAGAATATATAATTATTTAATTCTACTTTAAGAAAATTATAATCTTTGATTGAAAAATGTTATTTTCTCTATCCAACATTGTTTCTTTTCCATTCAAGAAAATTAAATCTTAAATCATGAGAGTATATTTTTCTCGATGAACTATACATATAAAGTAGCTTCATTCAAGTAAGCAATTATATTTTTCTTAAATTATAATCGCGGTATAATCTCATTTCAAGATTTTCATGTTAAAACTAAATATATTTTCAAAATAAGAATGTCCTTTTTTTCTGTGTGTGTCATATTTCTCTCATTGCGTTCGTTATTTATAAATCATTTTTATCGATTCCTGCGATACTGAATTAATAAATTTTATTAATATAATTAAAAGGAAAAATTTATTAATAGAGATAATATCAATATTATTTAAAAAATTTCTGTTTATTCTCTACATTTTCTGTAAATCTAATTATTTTATTATTCCCATCATATAGTCAATGCCAAGATTTGCTATCTCTTTATTTTTTGGCTTACAAGAAACACAATACGTTTTAAAATGACATATATATGTCTTATTTATGATTTTCCTATTGTTTCATATAACCGTGTACATATTACATTTTATTTATATTTTATTTATTTATATTTTATTTATATTTTATTTTTATTTACATTATATTTTATCTTATATTGATATATTGATTTAGAAAGAATTGAATTGATTATATATCTAATTATTTTAGAAAATATTTGACAGTGATTTAACAATATTATTGCAATACAATAATTAATTTTGTTTATACGCGAGAATAAAAAATCTTAAGCAAGAAAATAATAACGTTTATTATTGTTTAAATATAAAGAATTTTGAATATTGAATAACGGATACGTTGACATTACTTGTTTGTATATGCTTGTTGGCCTTCAAAAACTAATAATAACATCAAGGACTAATAATAAACTCAAATAGAGCAGGTAAATTCACGTTCAAGATATTTATCTGAAAAAATTTGAAATATTTTCTGTCGTAATGATTTTTATAATTCTGGAAAATGATTTTTATAATTTATGTAATTGAACTTGTTTTTATATTTAAAAAATTTAATATAGCAATATATATATATATTTCTAAATTATTATAATTTTACAATTGCTGCTTACAACATTTACAAGAAAAATTCCAATTAAAAAAGACCTTTCGATTTGAAGTTTGTACAACAAATATAGTTATCGAGCTTGATAAAATTCTTCTCCTACAATTCTCCATTAAATTTTATTCGTAATTGGGTTTCTAGAAAATCAAATACGATTCTATTAAATAGATTGTACGTCGAAGAAAGTAGGAAACCGATTTCAAAGAAAATTCGATAAGAGCGTCGACAGGAGGAAGGAAGGAAGAGGCGTCGAGTGAGATACAGATTAAAAACTGTTCCGTGCAGATCGTACCAGTCACGAAATGCCATTACCGAAAATTTGGGTCGGCATCGAACTGTCGTTTAAATCTAATTCAGTTTCAAAGTTCGATCTCGATCTGAATACTCGATATCACAGCAAAAATTTCGTCGCGGACCTCGTTTCCATTAGGGTTGCACGAGATACCAAGATTAGTATTGATATTGTCTTGTCTTGTCTTGAATTTCAAGACAAGATCAAGTCTTGTCAAGATTATTGGTTATCAAAAAAACTAAAATATTTATATTTGTAAATGAAAAAAAAAAATCACTATATACGAATTTAAAAAAATTTTATTTAATAAAAACATTTATATTAATAAATTTAAAAACATTTAATATTAATACAATATAACATTTTTATAAATTAGAAATCAAACTCGCAAATTTAGACATTAGAGAGCATTTTACCCAGGAATTGATGCACATTAGTGCTTTTAAAGATTTACTTTGTAATCTGGTTCTATTTTTTGACATAGTCAGAGTTCCTATCGAGAAAAGTCTTTTTACTGGCATGGACGAGGCAGTTGAATTTAAAATGTCTCGAGCCATTTTTGACAATGTGGGATAAATATGAACCTGATTTTTTTACCACTTCAAAATATTTATATCTGCACATTCCCTTAGAGCCTGTAAATAGTTATTAATTTCTGTTTTCCATGAAACAGTAAATATTTTTTTATAACTTAAAACTAATTTTTTTATAAATATATTAAATAAACGGCATTTATATCGATTACATAGTAATAATTATAATTAAAATATAATACAATAGTAATAATTATTTCAAATTATATTACAAAACTTATGTTAAATATTATTTAAATAATTTTTTAATATTAGATAAAAAATAAAATCGAGACAAGACAATACAAGACGAGATTTTTGCTACCAATATTCGCTCCAAGATTAAGACAAGATTAAAATTTTTAAAAATTTTCAATACCAATACAATTTTTTTTGCAAATATTGTCTTGGATCTTGTGCAACCCTAGTTTCCATTTGTACCACGCGTCCCGAACTATTTCTTCCCCGAAGATCGCGCGTCCCGGATGCGGCAGAGGGTGAAAACTGGTGACGAAACGTGTATACACGTAGATTCGCGGCCACTTACACGTGTACGCGCGCGTGCGCGCACACGAGACTCCTAGCCTCGGGCTCGTAACGAGAGTACGAGTGTACGTGGCCGGTGACCCAGTTCTCGTTCGTGGAACCAGACACGGCATCGGTCCCGAGGTAGAGGGGTAGTTTCTACGCAGTGCGTGTTTCACCCTAAACGTGCGTTTTCGTCATTAGCGGGTCTGAGCCGAAAGTTTTTTTTTTCTCTTTCGATTCTCGGGACTCAATGTTCGCGAAATAATGCTTCGTTCTACGAATGACACCGTAACTGTTCCCTCCGGTTATTTTTCTTCTCGCGCCCTCCAAGAACGCTTCTTACACCCTCGCTCTTGCTCCCGGCTGAATGTGTTAAGTCGGGTGGTGGGAGAAGGCTGCGCCCAATTTACGAATAGCTTTATTCAAATTTTATAGCCAGCCGGTAAGGCCCTCGTTCTATCGAGAACATAAATCGGGAGGGTGGTGCGATTTACGTTCGCGGTTTTATGTCGAAATGGTTTTCGAGGGTTCCGACCAGGGGAAGCAACATGGCTTTTCGTGGCTTTTCCGATCGCTATAGGAAAAAATTGAATCTTGCGCTTATTCCGCATTTTTCAATGATGTGGGGATACCGATACTATGGCCTTGCGAAAATTTGCTAAGCTCGTAAGTCGAGTTAAACATCAGGGATCGCGTCTTGTAATGCGAAATCGAAAATTCGACAGATGGCAACTATATTCCGACTACGGATAATAAGGACTTTACTGTATTTCCAATCTCGGATTTCAATCCCAGTCGATAGCAAGATGCAAATGGTAGGATTTATTGATGGAAACACCGGCGAAATTATGCTCTAATATTCTTTACGATAAATAATCTGTAGCTGAATTATATTTGTCTACATTCTGATTACATTTCTTTTATATTATTAAATAGAAGATTTGAAGAAATGAAAAAAAAAAGAAATTTAAAAATAAGAAAATGAAAAAAATAAGAAATTAAGTGTAATAAAATATTAATTATTATACATTTTTTAAATTTAACAAATTTAATTATTTCCAATCTTTTTAACATTTATGTGAGAGAGTGTATAGCTTTATTAGTAAAAAAATTGTTCTTTTCTAGGAAATCATTTGACATTGGTTATAAGTGTATTTGACGATTAGCGGTCGACTCTTGTCTGGTAGCACGTTGACCATTACCACTTTACGATAAAGTCTAATATGCGGTTGAATATCGCACAAGTTTCGTATTAATTTTGCGAGCCTATCCTCTATAACATTTTACACTATAATCCCTTTAATGAGAAGTTTGTTTTACATCTGTGGTAATAGAGTTTGCGTTATAGCACAATATAATATCATACATAGTTTAATTGATGTCAAATTTTTATGTAGTTATTGCAAAAAAAAATAATGTCTTTTCATATTAAAATACATAGAGAATTTTCATCATAGAATACATTTTTATTGCGATATTTTATTAAGCAATGTGTTGATTACATTTTTCTGAGCATTTTTCATATTTGCCCTCAATTTAAACTTTCTGATTTTTATTTGCATTTTAAGAGATAAAACAATATTGCATAAGAGAAAAAAACACGAATAATAAATTGTGAAATTATTTTATAAACTAATATGCAGCACAAGCGGTTTGTAAAAAATATTAAAGAGTAAAGTTAAAAAATAAGAAATAAGAGAAATGTTATATTTATTTAAAGAATAATTCATGCATCAACTGAGTTTTTGATTTTTATAATAATTTCGAGTAAGTAAAGAATGTCACTTGTTCGACACGAAGATTAAATAATGAATATTGAATGAAAAATGTTTTAAATTTTAAATTATTATTTTTATTTCAAATGATAATATCTATAACATTTTTATAAGATTCTCAAAATGAATAAAGCTAGCGGCTTTAACAATATACTGATATATTCGAACGTTCTTGTGTCTCTATATTTTAAACATATAAAATTTAGAATAAAATTTATAAATATTTATAAGTAGAAAACTTTTTTTAACGCATGCGAATAAAATTATTAATTAATTCACACGAGTAATGTTAAACATTTAAATTTTAATTTAAAATATTTTTGAATATCAGTAATGTAATATAATGAGAAGTTGACGATAATTGATTTATTTTGATGGCCAAGTTTCTTAAA